CCGATATACGGGGAAAATCTGGGACGGTCGGCAAAAAGAAAAATCCCCAATCGCCTGGGATTTTCCCGACATATGAAAACCGGGCTTTAGCTTTACCTCTTGCACGTCGCCATGGACTGCTAACTGAGTGGTTCGTCAGACTAGCATTCTCTTCTGTCTTACTTCGTAGATGATGGATGATTGCAATACCTAAGTTTCTTACTTCACAAACTACAACACTTTGCATTGGGATATCCAGTTTTATAACATCTCTGCTAAACAAAAACACCTAGAGTTGGTCCCTGCCTTTCTTTACTCGCTTTATGTTTACTCTCTTAAAGACGCACACCTCTGTTGAACGGACACATAGAGCTGGTTCCTGCCTTTCTTCACTCGGATTATTTGACTCTATAAGACGCACACCTCTGTTAAACGGACATCTAGAGTTGGTCCCTGCCTTTCTTTACTCCCTTTATTTGACTTTCTATAAGACGCACACCTCGGTAAAACGGACACCTAAAACTGGTCACTGCCTTTCTTCACTCGGTTTATCTGACTCTCTATAAGACGCACACCTCTGTTAAACGGACACCTAGAGCTGGTCCCGGCCTTTCTTTTCTCGCTTTATTTGACTCTCTATAAGACGCACACCTCTGTTAAACGGACACCTAGAGTTGGTCCCGGCCTTTCTTTTCTCGCTTTATTTGACTCTCTATAAGACGCACACCTCTGTTAAACGGACACCTAGAGTTCGTCCCTGCCTTTCATGACTCACCTTATTTCACTCTCTATAAGACGCACACCTCTGTTAAACGGACACCTAGAGCTGGTCCCTGCCTTTCATGACTCCCTTTACGTAACGCTCTATAAGATGCACACCTCTGTTAAACCGACACATAGAGTTGGTCCCTGCCTTTCATGACTCCCCTTATTTCACTCTCTATAAGACGCACACCTCTGTTAAACGGACACCTAGAGTTGGTCCCTGCCTTTCATGACTCCCTTTACGTAACGCTCTATAAGATGCACACCTCTGTTAAACCGACACCTAGAGTTGGTCCCTGCCCTTCTTTACTGCCTTTATTTGACTCTGTATAAGACGCACACCTCGGTAAAACGGACACCTAGATCTGGTCCCTGCCTTTCTTTACTCCGTTTATTTGACTCTCTATAAGACGCACACCTCTGTTAAACGGACACCTAGAGCTGGTCCCTGCCCTTCTTTACTACCTTTATTTGACTCTGTATAAGACGCACACCTCGGTAAAACGGACACCTAGAGCTGGTCCCTGCCTTTCTTTACTCGGTTTATTTGACTCTCTATAAGACGCACACCTCTGTTAAACGGACACCTAGAGTAGGTCCCTACCTTTCTTTACTCCCTTTATTTCACTCTGTATAAGACGGACGTCTCTGCTAAACAGAAACCTAGAGTTGGTCCCTGCCTTTCTTTACTCGCTTTATTTTGACTCTTTATAAGACGGACACCTCGGTAAAACGGACACCTAGATTTGGTCCCTGCCTGTGTTTACTCCCTTTATTTGACTCTCTATAAGGCGACACCTCTGTTCAACGGACAGCTAGAGTTGGTCCCTGCCTTTCATGACTCCCTTTATTTGACTCTCTATAAGACGCACACCTCTGTTAAACGGACACCTAGAGTTGGTCCCTGCCTTTCATGACTCCCTTTATTTGACTCTCTATAAGACGCACACCTCTGTTAAACGGACACCTAGAGTTGGTCCCTGCCTTTCATGACTCCCTTTATTTGACTCTCTATAAGACGCACACCTCTGTTAAACGGACACCTAGAGTTGGTCCCTGCCTTTCATGACTCCCTTTATTTGACTCTCTATAAGACGCACACCTCTGTTAAACGGACACCTAGAGTTGGTCCCTGCCTTTCATGACTCCCTTTATTTGACTCTCTATAAGACGCACACCTCTGTTAAACGGACACCTAGAGTTGGTCCCTGCCTTTCATGACTCCCTTTATTTGACTCTCTATAAGACGCACACCTCTGTTAAACGGACACCTAGAGTTGGTCCCTGCCTTTCATGACTCCCTTTATTTGACTCTCTATAAGACGCACACCTCTGTTAAACGGACACCTAGAATTGGTCCCTGTCTTTCTTCACTCCCTTTATCTGACTCTCTATAAGACGCACACCTCTGTTAAACGGACACCTAGAGTTGGTCCCTGTCTTTCTTCACTCCCTTTATTTGACTCTATAAGACGCACACCTCTGTTCAACGGACACCTAGAGTTGGTCCCTGCCCTTCTTTACCACCTTTATTTGACTCTTTATAAGATGGATACCTCTGTTAAACGGACACCTAGAGTTGGTTCCTGCCTTTCTTTACTCCCTTTATTTAACTCTCTATAAGACGCACACCTCTGTTAAACAGACACCTAGAGTTGGTCCCTTCCTTTCTTCACTAACTTTATTTAACTCTCTAATAGACGCACACCTCTTTTAAACGGACACCTAGAGTTGGTACCTGCCTTTCATGACTCCCTTTATTTGACTCTCTATAAGACGCACACCTCTGTTAAACGGACACCTAGAGTTGGTCCCTGTCTTTCTTCACTCCCTTTATTTGACTCTATAAGACGCACACCTCTGTTCAACGGACACCTAGAGTTGGTCCCTGCCCTTCTTTACCACCTTTATTTGACTCTTTATAAGATGGATACCTCTGTTAAACGGACACCTAGAGTTGGTTCCTGCCTTTCTTTACTCCCTTTATTTGACTCTTTATAAGACGCACACCTCTGTTAAACAGACACCTAGAGTTGGTCCCTTCCTTTCTTCACTAACTTTATTTAACTCTCTAATAGACGCACACCTCTTTTAAACGGACACCTAGAGTTGGTACCTGCCTTTCATGACTCCCTTTACTTGACTCTCTATAAGACGCACACCTCTGTTAAACGGACACCTAGAATTGGTCCCTGTCTTTCTTCACTCCCTTTATCTGACTCTCTATAAGACGCACACCTCTGTTAAACCGACACCTAGAGTTGGTCCCTGTCTTTCTTCACTCCCTTTATCTGACTCTCTATAAGACGCACACCTCTGTTCAACGGACACCTAGAGTTGGTCCCTGGCTTTCTTTACCACCTTTATTTGACTCTTTTTAAGATGGATACCTCTGTTAAACGGCCTCCTGGAGTTGGTTCCTGCCTTTCTTTACTCCCTTTATTTGACTCTTTATAAGACGCACACCTCTGTTAAACAGACACCTAGAGTTGGTCCCTTCCTTTCTTCACTAACTTTATTTGACTCTCTAATAGACGCACACCTCTGTTAAACGGACACCTAGAGTTGGTACCTGCCTTTCATGACTCCCTTTATTTGACTCTCTATAAGACGTACACCTCTGTTAAACGGACACCTAGAGTTGGTCCCTGTCTTTCTTCACTCCCTTTATCTGACTCTCTATAAGACGCACACCTCTGTTCAACGGACACCTAGAGTTGGTTCCTGCCTTTCTTTACCACCTTTATTTGACTCTTTATAAGATGGATACCTCTGTTAAACGGACACCTAGAGTTGGTTCCTGCCTTTCTTTACTCCCTTTATTTGACTCTTTATAAGACGCATACCTCTGTTAAACAGACACCTAGAGATGGTCCCTTCCTTTCTTCACTAACTTTATTTAACTCTCTAATAGACGCACACCTCTTTTAAACGGACACCTAGAGTTGGTACCTGCCTTTCATGACTCCCTTTATTTGACTCTCTATAAGACGGACATTACTCGTGGACGGACAATTCGCGCCGGACCCAAAGAGAGAGCGTTGACTGTACAGCCAAACGGTGTTTTCCAAAAATCCCTACTGTGGAGTGCGTCTTTTAAAAAGATGCGTTTTCCGTGACGGCTTTTACCGGATACGTGGAAAAAAATCTCCATTTTCAAAAGGAAACAGATATATGGACGGGGCCTATGTTTGCTGACATCATCAGCGTGTACAATGGGAACATAAAACACATGGAACGGGGTCTAATACCTCTAGCTCTTGAGCGCGCTTTGCAATCCTTCCCAGTGCATCTATAAGCTAGAAATACTTGCATCGCAGAACCTCGCGAAGCACCGGAGAGGAGGCCCGGAAAATGTTAGGGATGGGAGGGAGGGAAAGAAATAGATTAAATTGCGTAGCTGGGAAGGACGGGTTTCAACAGTGGCTGTAATATTGGAAGCAGAGATAGACTCCGTTTCCTTTTGGTTGGAGTAAACTCGAACCGAGTGCCCTGCCTTTAAAAGAGATTTGGGATTTTAATGGGGTTGCTATCATTAAGGCAGCGTAGCCAGAGCTGTGTAGCTAACGTGTTCACCCTGTTTGACCCTCCTTCATGTACTTCAAGTTGTCAAAAGGAAATGGGGCTGTGACAGTGGATGGGTTCAGGCAAATATGTAGTGGCATTTGCTTAATAACAACTAATTTGTGCCATCTCCTATAATAATATTGTAATAATTTCCTCTTTGTTGCTCGCGCTAAATTTCTATTCGACGTTCTGTTGTTGCTCCAGAGTTCTCACCGGCAAGGATTTGCATCTACTTTTTTTATCCAGCGTTGTTGTGTTTGCTTTTGTGGGTCATTTGCATTGGTAGGAATTTGCTTGTGATTCACCGATGGTATAAAAATTTCTTTCACAGGCGATGAATATAACACTCGCATGAACATTAACCGGAAATACATATGCTGCGTCTCGTCACACTGGATGCGGATACCAACCGGAAATGACCGATATATCTGTCTGAAGGCCACTAGGCTTTCGCTTGGCTCCAGGCCAGTGCTGTCTCCAAAAATGTAGGGGGCTTGGCGTCTTGGTCAGCACCACAGGGCGGAAAAACGTAATGAGCAACAAATTGTCATTAAAAAAACCGAGAAGGCTAAAGGCTCTTATACCTGCTGACAATGAAGAAATGAATTTTCTGTATGAAAACAACCTACCTAAAGGTCTTCAAAGCAAAAGATCAGCTTCGCAGCCAAGCCATGATTCACCATTAAACTATGTTTAATACCTGGTCCTTGCGAGGGTCTTTGACTGAAGACAAGGATCAAGTAAAGCTGGTTCTGCAAAGTTAATAAATCTGGGTATGTAAAAAAAAAACAACAACCGTAAACCACTAATAAAAGAATACAAGCGGGTTTTAATTCAGCCCGGCAAAAAAAGTGAAGAACTGGACGCAGAATCAACTCACAAATCGAATGCACAATCAGAAAAATACTCTCCTCTTTGGAAATGTTCAAAACTTTTTATTCCACCTCAGACTGAGAATGATCAGTTTTTCCTTTAACCTTGGTTGTTCTGAATCCAAAGTAATTTTCAAGTGACGAAAAAAAAAAACAAACAAATGACATGTTTTTAACTGAAAGGATGTAATTGAAGTTTACTGCTTTAAGAGATGGCATCAGTTGTGCCGTGTACGTCCATACCGCCTTCATTGATTTAAGTGACTTACCGTTAATAATAAACTAAGAAAAACCTCTACAAGGCAAAATTGAGATTATTTAATTAGACAATTAACATGAATAAAATATTTTTCTCGCTTTATCGCAGAGACAATTCTGTTATGTTAACTGGTTGTTTTATCATGTTATTTGAACAACTGTTGAAAGCTCTGTCTTGGATGTAATCAACAGCAGCTTTCTGGGCCCGTTAATTATCGGGACTTCGAGAAACAGGCCTCTTGTTCGAACCTTGCTGTCATGTTGTTTCCTTACACAAGAAACGTTTTGGTGTGCTGAGATAGTAAATGCAGTAAATACGGAACTACACGTAAATGCTGTGATATGTGAGTGTGGACATTAGGAAGATGTGAATTGTTTGTTGGCTGGTTTTGATTTAGCATACATGTAAATTCAAAAGATGAATGTGAACATGACCAGATATCTAAACTTCCTATTAGGGTCACTGTCCCTGGCACGTGGCAGAGAAGCAAATGGTAATTGCCATTACTTATGCGCAACTACTGTAACTCTGTTTCGTTTGTCTTGTTTGTTTGTTCGGGTGCTTAGTGCAGTGTAGGAAAGATGTCTGTGAAAGACTAGGTCTCAGTCAGGAAGATGTGGAGCTGAGTATGAGAGTGTCAAGTGGTTTTGATAAAGTAGTGGGTACCCTAATGCATGGCTGGTACAACTAGCTGGTGTTGTAGTATTTGATTTCTGTGTTGCTGTAAACACCATAGTGCCACACCAGCAAATGAAATGCTCATAATGCTCAAAGAAACCCTGCCCTGCATTCAAGGGTATCTAGATTATAAAACACAGATTGGGGACGCCTGACCATGGATTATCATTGATTTATTGATCTTTGTGCCAATTGTCGGAAATCCCGCCTATGCGACAAGGGTCTCAAGAAACGAGTTGCTAGCCCAAACACGTTCCTTCCTTAGGTCTTTCTTCAGCGTATCTAACTGAAACCTCAACTTAACGTCTTGCTTTGAAACTAAAATTACGCGGGACTCGCGCCATTCACGGTGGTTACGTCACTTGCTGCAAAACAAATTTGCCTTGTGCATGCCGGTAAAACGCACGACATGTACAGATTTTTTTTTAAACAGTAGAACCACTCTCTACTTTCTGCAACAACTTTCGCAACCTGCAACAACCTGATTTGTTGCAAGACAGATTTGATTCGTGGGTGGTAAAACGCGCAACATCGCTCTTTAGCTTGTTTTGCAGCAATGGTGCATAACAAGTTGCAGCTTTTTGTTGCCCACTTTACTGTACCTTAAAAAGAAATGATTTTTAATGACTTACAGATTTTAAGGCAAGTACAAATGTGCGAGTAGGCAGTACATTCTTCAGTGCCAGACAACCTAAACAACCAAGCAGTGCTAATGCTGCGGGGGAAATTCCTCAGCAATCCCCGCGGGAAACAATGGTATCCGGTGGGACCTCCCAACTAAAAACGTCCCAAGGAACAAACCCAGCACCCGGTGAGGAACAAGACACTTTTCCTCCGGAAAGTTTCTCCAGCAGTGACAATGTGTGTGACAAAAATTCTGGTTTCGCAGGCTGCGGGTATATGCAAAAGCGATATATCAAGCATTACATTATTTGTTGCCCTATTCAAGGATGCTGGTGTAGGATAGACTCCATGCCAAGGAAACTTAACTAACTGCTTTAACGCCTCTGCAAGTTTTTCATGGGTAAATACGAGCAACGTAATGAAATATGTGCTTGAATAGTCCATAATAACAAGTCCTTGATGAAGAATTCTTTGGATTGCCGGTATTAAACGCGTACAACCAAACAGTGTAAACGTCGAAAGATGCGATCTAAGGGTTTTTGAATATTCTTCACTGTGTAACTGCTCAGCTACCCAACGTTCCCCCCCGCCCTCAAACACATACACCGACATCCCGGCCCCGGCATAAAAAGGGTTTGTGCAAGCCAATAGTCTTCAGAATTCATTACCAAAATGGTTTGCGAGGGTGGTATCTGGGGTTAAGCGTCTTTGCTTATCTCACATATGAAGTATTTTTTGTATTGAAATATGAAAACTCATTAAACGTCGGACTGGTTTCGTCTGAAAGTAGGTCAGTAAAAGCTAATGAGAGGTCGTGGGTTTTAACGGGAAAACTTGACCCAATTCAACGGTATCTGCGAAGTACTGCAGAGGAAACGGCCAAGAGATCTTTTCCCAGCGATTGGTTGCCCATAGATTCCGAACGTCCAGGAGCTAGGGATAAAAATTTGTTGAAGAAATAATCGGAATGTTTCAATGTAAAATTGTATCTTCAGGGGTGAAAAACGCATTGCGGAAGGGCGAGAATTATCTAAAATCCTTAGTCTACAAACATGAACTATCTCGATTGCTCTTTATTACGAACTGGTTCATGAAATTACCCTTGCAAAGTTTAAATTCAAGTAACTAACTTGCATCTGTTAAATACCCGATCAATGTATTAAAAAATAGATAATACTAATAGTTGCGTTTGTAACATTAATTGCAGGAACTTACTAAAACGCCTCATTACCTTCAAGCCCCTCCCTCTACCCGTTCGTCTCCACTCCCTAATATAAAGCAGTATGTCAATATTTTTAGTCGCACGCTGAGTAACATAGCGTTTAAATGAAAGGGAGGGTTGCGGTGACTTTGATGATTCCGGATACCACAAGCAAAAACTTCTCGGATTCCGGAATCCCTTACACAACGAATCTGAATACCTTTGTTATAACTCCTGCCGTACGAATTTGTAGTGTCAGGGTACTGAGTCAGGGCACATCCGGGATGTCAACGTTCTCGTCGCTTAGGGTTCCTATTATTTTGACGCCCAAAACTATGGAACTCTCACCTTCGAGAATAAATGAATTCAAGACAGCTTTTCAACTGATTTTAAAACCATTCCTTGACTCTAAAAATATTGTTTTTTTTATTGTTACCTCTTTGTTACCTCTTTGCTACGTTGTTACCTCTTTTTAACATGAATAAAATATTTTTCTCGCTTTATCGCAGAGACAATTCTGTTATGTTAACTGGTTGTTTTATCATGTTATTTGAACAACTGTTGAAAGCTCTGTCTTGGATGTAATCAACAGCAGCTTTCTGGGTCCGTTAATTATCGGGACTTCGAGAAACAGGCCTCTTGTTCGAACCTTGCTGTCATGTTGTTTCCTTACACAAGAAACGTTTTTGTGTGCTGAGATAGTAAATGCAGTAAATACGGAACTACACGTAAATGCTGTGATATGTGAGTGTGGACATTAGGAAGATGTGAATTGTTTGTTGGCTGGTTTTGATTTAGCATGCATGTAAATTCAAAAGATGAATGTGAACATGACCAGATATCTAAACTTCCTACTAGGGTCACTGTCCCTGGCACGTGGCAGAGAAGCAAATGGTAATTGCCATTACTTATGCGCAACTACTGTAACTCTGTTTCGTTTGTCTTGTTTGTTTGTTCGAGTGCTTAGTGCAGTGCAGGAAAGATGTCTGTGAAAGACTAGGTCTCAGTCAGGAAGATGTGGAGCTGAGTATGAGAGTGTCAAGTGGTTTTGATAAAGTAGTGGGTACCCTAATGCATGGCTGGTACAACTAGCTGGTGTTGTAGTATTTGATTTCTGTGTTGCTGTAAACACCATAGTGCCACACCAGCAAATGAAATGCTCATAATGCTCAAAGAAACCCTGCCCTGCATTCAAGGGTATCTAGATTATAAAACACAGATTGGGGACGCCTGACCATGGATTATCATTGATTTATTGATCTTTGTGCCAATTGTCGGAAATCCCGCCTATGCGACAAGGGTCTCAAGAAACGAGTTGCTAGCCCAAACACGTTCCTTCCTTAGGTCTTTCTTCAGCGTATCTAACTGAAACCTCAACTTAACGTCTTGCTTTGAAACTAAAATTACGCGGGACTCGCGCCATTCACGGTGGTTACGTCACTTGCTGCAAAACAAATTTGCCTTGTGCATGCCGGTAAAACGCACGACATGTACAGATTTTTTTTTAAAAAGTAGAACCACTCTCTACTTTCTGCAACAACTTTCGCAACCTGCAACAACCTGATTTGTTGCAAGACAGATTTGATTCGTGGGTGGTAAAACGCGCAACATCGCTCTTTAGCTCGTTTTGCAGCAATGGTGCATAACAAGTTGCAGCTTTTTGTTGCCCACTTTACTGTACCTTAAAAAGAAATGATTTTTAATGACTTACAGATTTTAAGGCAAGTACAAATGTGCGAGTAGGCAGTACATTCTTCAGTGCCAGACAACCTAAACAACCAAGCAGTGCTAATGCTGCGGGGGAAATTCCTCAGCAATCCCCGCGGGAAACAATGGTATCCGGTGGGACCTCCCAACTAAAAACGTCCCAAGGAACAAACCCAGCACCCGGTGAGGAACAAGACACTTTTCCTCCGGAAAGTTTCACCAGCAGTGACAATGTGTGTGACAAAAATTCTGGTTTCGCAGGCTGCGGGTATATGCAAAAGCGATATATCAAGCATTACATTATTTGTTGCCCTATTCAAGGATGCTGGTGTAGGATAGACTCCATGCCAAGGAAACTTAACTAACTGCTTTAACGCCTCTGCAAGTTTTTCATGGGTAAATACGAGCAACGTAATGAAATATGTGCTTGAATAGTCCATAATAACAAGTCCTTGATGAAGAATTCTTTGGATTGCCGGTATTAAACGCGTACAACCAAACAGTGTAAACGTTTAATATTGTAATAATTTCCTCTTTGTTGCTCGCGCTAAATTTCTATTCGACGTTCTGTTGTTGCTCCAGAGTTCTCACCGGCAAGGATTTGCATCTACTTTTTTTATCCAGCGTTGTTGTGTTTGCTTTTGTGGGTCATTTGCATTGGTAGGAATTTGCTTGTGATTCACCGATGGTATAAAAATTTCTTTCACAGGCGATGAATATAACACTCGCATGAACATTAACCGGAAATACATATGCTGCGTCTCGTCACACTGGATGCGGATACCAACCGGAAATGACCGATATATCTGTCTGAAGGCCACTAGGCTTTCGCTTGGCTCCAGGCCAGTGCTGTCTCCAAAAATGTAGGGGGCTTGGCGTCTTGGTCAGCACCACAGGGCGGAAAAACGTAATGAGCAACAAATTGTCATTAAAAAAACCGAGAAGGCTAAAGGCTCTTATACCTGCTGACAATGAAGAAATGAATTTTCTGTATGAAAACAACCTACCTAAAGGTCTTCAAAGCAAAAGATCAGCTTCGCAGCCAAGCCATGATTCACCATTAAACTATGTTTAATAACTGGTCCTTGCGAGGGTCTTTGACTGAAGACAAGGATCAAGTAAAGCTGGTTCTGCAAAGGTAATAAATCTGGGTATGTAAAAAAAAAAACAACAACCGTAAACCACTAATAAAAGAATACAAGCGGGTTTTAATTCAGCCCGGCAAAAAAAGTGAAGAACTGGACGCAGAATCAACTCAAAAATCGAATGCACAATCAAAAAAATACTCTCCTCTTTGGAAATGTTCAAAACTTTTTATTCCACCTCAGACTGAGAATGATCAGTTTTTCCTTTAACCTTGGTTGTTCTGAATCCAAAGTAATTTTCAAGTGACGAAAAAAAAAAACAAACAAATGACATGTTTTTAACTGAAAGGATGTAATTGAAGTTTACTGCTTTAAGAGATGGCATCAGTTGTGCCGTGTACGTCCATACCGCCTTCATTGATTTAAGTGACTTACCGTTAATAATAAACTAAGAAAAACCTCTACAAGGCAAAATTGAGATTATTTAATTAGACAATTAACATGAATAAAATATTTTTCTCGCTTTATCGCAGAGACAATTCTGTTATGTTAACTGGTTGTTTTATCATGTTATTTGAACAACTGTTGAAAGCTCTGTCTTGGATGTAATCAACAGCAGCTTTCTGGGCCCGTTAATTATCGGGACTTCGAGAAACAGGCCTCTTGTTCGAACCTTGCTGTCATGTTGTTTCCTTACACAAGAAACGTTTTGGTGTGCTGAGATAGTAAATGCAGTAAATACGGAACTACACGTAAATGCTGTGATATGTGAGTGTGGACATTAGGAAGATGTGAATTGTTTGTTGGCTGGTTTTGATTTAGCATACATGTAAATTCAAAAGATGAATGTGAACATGACCAGATATCTAAACTTCCTATTAGGGTCACTGTCCCTGGCACGTGGCAGAGAAGCAAATGGTAATTGCCATTACTTATGCGCAACTACTGTAACTCTGTTTCGTTTGTCTTGTTTGTTTGTTCGGGTGCTTAGTGCAGTGTAGGAAAGATGTCTGTGAAAGACTAGGTCTCAGTCAGGAAGATGTGGAGCTGAGTATGAGAGTGTCAAGTGGTTTTGATAAAGTAGTGGGTACCCTAATGCATGGCTGGTACAACTAGCTGGTGTTGTAGTATTTGATTTCTGTGTTGCTGTAAACACCATAGTGCCACACCAGCAAATGAAATGCTCATAATGCTCAAAGAAACCCTGCCCTGCATTCAAGGGTATCTAGATTATAAAACACAGATTGGGGACGCCTGACCATGGATTATCATTGATTTATTGATCTTTGTGCCAATTGTCGGAAATCCCGCCTATGCGACAAGGGTCTCAAGAAACGAGTTGCTAGCCCAAACACGTTCCTTCCTTAGGTCTTTCTTCAGCGTATCTAACTGAAACCTCAACTTAACGTCTTGCTTTGAAACTAAAATTACGCGGGACTCGCGCCATTCACGGTGGTTACGTCACTTGCTGCAAAACAAATTTGCCTTGTGCATGCCGGTAAAACGCACGACATGTACAGATTTTTTTTTAAACAGTAGAACCACTCTCTACTTTCTGCAACAACTTTCGCAACCTGCAACAACCTGATTTGTTGCAAGACAGATTTGATTCGTGGGTGGTAAAACGCGCAACATCGCTCTTTAGCTTGTTTTGCAGCAATGGTGCATAACAAGTTGCAGCTTTTTGTTGCCCACTTTACTGTACCTTAAAAAGAAATGATTTTTAATGACTTACAGATTTTAAGGCAAGTACAAATGTGCGAGTAGGCAGTACATTCTTCAGTGCCAGACAACCTAAACAACCAAGCAGTGCTAATGCTGCGGGGGAAATTCCTCAGCAATCCCCGCGGGAAACAATGGTATCCGGTGGGACCTCCCAACTAAAAACGTCCCAAGGAACAAACCCAGCACCCGGTGAGGAACAAGACACTTTTCCTCCGGAAAGTTTCACCAGCAGTGACAATGTGTGTGACAAAAATTCTGGTTTCGCAGGCTGCGGGTATATGCAAAAGCGATATATCAAGCATTACATTATTTGTTGCCCTATTCAAGGATGCTGGTGTAGGATAGACTCCATGCCAAGGAAACTTAACTAACTGCTTTAACGCCTCTGCAAGTTTTTCATGGGTAAATACGAGCAACGTAATGAAATATGTGCTTGAATAGTCCATAATAACAAGTCCTTGATGAAGAATTCTTTGGATTGCCGGTATTAAACGCGTACAACCAAACAGTGTAAACGTAGAAAGATGCGATCTAAGGGTTTTTGATCAAATGTAAAGGGTCTATATAGATGACGTAAAGAAATACCGAGGTACGCTGTTAACGTTTGAATATTCTTCACTGTGTAACTGCTCAGCTACCCAACGTTCCCCCCCGCCCTCAAACACATACACCGACATCCCGGCCCCGGCATAAAAAGGGTTTGTGCAAGCCAATAGTCTTCAGAATTCATTAGTAAAATGATTTGCGAGGGTGGTATCTGGGGTTAAGCGTCTTTGCTTATCTCACATATGAAGTATTTTTTGTATTGAAATTTAAAAAATCATTAAACGTCGGACTGGTTTCGTCTGAAAGTAGGTCAGTAAAAGCTAATGAGAGGTCGTGGGTTTTAACGGGAAAACTTGACCCATTTCAACGGTATCTGTGAAGTAATGCAGAGGAAACGGCCAAGAGATCTTTTCCCAGCGATTGGTTGCCCATAGATTCCGAACGTCCAGGAGATAGGGATAAATTTGTTGAAGAAATAATCTCAATGTTTCAACGTAAAAATGTATCTTCAGGTGTTAAAAACGCATAGCGGAAGGGCGAGAATTGCCTAAAATCCTTAGTCTACAAACATGAACTATCGCGATTGCTCTTTATTACGAACTGGTTCATGAAATTACCCTTGCAAAGTTTAAATGCAAGTAAGTAACTTGCATCTGTTAAATACCTGATCAATGTATTTAAAAATAGATACTAATAGTTGCGTTTGTAACATTAATTGCAAGAACTTACTAAAACGCCTCATTACCTTCAAGCCCCTCCCTCTACCCGTTCGTCTCTACTCCCTAATATAAAGCAGTATGTCAATATTTTTAGTTGCACGCTGAGTAACATAGCGTTTAAATGAAAGTGAGGGTTGCGGGGACTTTGTTGTCTTTGATTTGCAATTAAAAAGAAGTGAGGTTTCTGTCAAGACAGGGTCACCACCAGCCTCGCTGAAAGCCAGAATACTCAGTTTACAACTGCAACATGGTCTACTCACAATATTAGCGAGTTTTAAAAACAGCGAGAACGCCGACGTCGCGGATATCATAAATAGCAACCGGAAGTTTGATGTCCCGCTTCATCCCATGTAAGGGAATCCAATACAATATCTAAATTCTACGCCGTGGATTCCGGATACCACAAGCAAAAACTTCTCGAATTCCGGAATCCGGAATCCGAAATCCCTTACACAACGAATCTGAATACCTTTGTTATAACTCCTGCCGTTCGAATTTGTCGAGCCAGGGCACTAAATCAGGGCACATCCGGGATGTCAACGTTCTCGTCGCTTAAGGTTCCTATTATTTTGACGCCCAAAACTATGGAACTCTCACCTTCGAGAATAAATGAATTCAAGACAGCTTTTCAACTGATTTTAAAACCATGCCTTGACTCTAGACCTATTGCTCGTTGCCACGTTAAATAAATTCAAATGACCGTGTGTACTCCGTTTGGATTAGTTACCCCTTCAGTGGTGTACTTATCTTATAAGTCACTGGCTTCGGAAGGTTTCCCTGCCTATCTCATTTTTTTCATCACATGTGTGCAAACAGCTACATACAGCCGCGTTCCGGACTTCTGACGAGCTGTCAGAAGTCGACAATTCTTCGTTCTTGTGAGTCTCCTATATGTTCAAAGCTAATTATCACTATCCCTTGTTAGAAGTTAGAAGGAAAAGAGGAAAGGAATAAACCCTTTTCTCCTTGGAGTAACTGTTACCCTTGAAGCTCTCTAAGCTGGCTTAAAGTTTTTAACCTGAACCATTTGTCCAGAGTGAAACGCTAACAAGATGCAAGGCCCTTTTGATCGCCTTTCTAAAGTATACTCATGCCCCAAAATTCTCCAAAATGCACATAAAACTGACAAATGGGCAAAAAAAAAAACAAAAGAACAAGTCAGAAAGAAAATACCTAGTATCAAAACAATGCCTACTGTATCTTAAATCTTGAGCACTACGTAGGTCCAAATATTAGGATTTGACTGTTCGAAGGAAAGCTGTGTAAAAGCACAGTCTACGCTCACCTCCTTCAACACAATTTTTTACAGTTTTAAGATTTATGGCAAATAAAAGGTCAACGCGAAATTAAAAGTATCGTCAAAATCGTAAGTCATTTGGGTCGAAGTTGTGGATATTTGCCATGTCAGAAAAGGCAGCATAACGAGCTCCATCCATGTCACTTGCTAACCGATTATCATCCCTCAAACGATGACTATGACCACCAATCGCTGAGCCACATTCCGGGCAGCGGCCCTCTTCCATCGCCCCACCACACTCGGTGATGCAGTAAATGTGTCCTATAATGAGATAATACAGTGATAATACACCTGCGGATCATTCAAACTGGCAGCGGGGTAACCTAGGATTTAGTAAGGAGTGGAGATGTTACAAAGGTGGTGAAGCTTGCGCCGTTATTTAAATTTGCGGCGAAAGAAAGAACGGGCGCCGGTTGAGGGGGCGATTGGTTGGCGGTGTTGGCTTATTCCAGGGAAGCCGTCAACTGTTTTTATATATCACTCTTGCTCTCATTGAGTTATAGAGTTCATCGGGAAATTGGTAATTCAAAAGAGTCGGCTCGTCTTATCCAATGCATTAAAAGCTGGAAATTGTGTTTTCTGAATAGTCTAGGAGACTGAGAGGCTATACTCACCCTTTGGACACTTGAACCAATGTCCTTGTGTTAAACCCATGGCCTTCACAATCAGGTCTTTTTCTTGTCGGGTGACTTCCTGGTAAAAAACTTCAAGTCCACACAATCGTCCGATCCGCTTAATGCGAGTTGTATAACGGTCTCTGACGTCTTTTCCTAAAATGAACCCAGAAAAAGTGTTTCGTTCATGATTCTTTTACTGCGATTTAGGAGAGATGTTTGAAATAGAAATTTTCAAAGTTATGCTGGTAACTACACAGTGAGTGCGCAATATGGTTGGGGATTTATGACCATAACAATTTTGCTTGGATTTTGATATGACAAATGGTATTATAAGTCATGACCACATTTAAAGTTGCGAAATGTATATCTGTAATGCTTTCAAATGAAGTTAGTTACAACATTTCCCTTATCCGCCTTCTTTGGATGCCCCCTTCTCCTTCACCCCCATCCCGGTGTTAAACACTTGTCTTCACACTTAATTACAACGATTCGTTATATATACGATGGTGTTTTTGTTTGAACCCTAAGAGCTCTTAGATTGGATTTACCTATATACGCTAAAACATCAGCCCGTGGTGTAACACAGCTATAATAAAGAATTACCCAAGCACTGGGATTCGTTTTTGTTTGCACTTTACACCTATGATGGTGTTTAGTTGCTATTCTTCTATATCATTGTTGCGTTTTTCATCTCTGTCCTTCATTGTCAATCCACTTACCAATCACTTTCTCAGAATCCAAGGCGCTTTGCACGAGGTCAATTTTCACGGAATCAGTGGCGTTCAGCTTATGTCCTCGGATGTCAAGCTGCATCTTCAGAATCTTAAGGTCAACAGCAAGCTGTGTTCTGTATATCTCCTCACTCAGTTCCTCTAATTCCTGGTCACTGAACCGCGCCCGAACCTTCATGATACGGAGTCGCAGTTTATCCAATAGACTCTCGAGTCCTTCCTTCCTTTCCTCCAGTAGTCTTATTGAATGAAAGCTTCCTTGCGTTCTCTCACTTTCGGCGTTTACGCCTTTGTGTATCTTAACTTTGAGGTTCTGGAGGAAAGACAACAGGCTGATCTGGTTCTCAAACACATTCACTTGTTCATCTGTAAGATTCTTGAGAAGCAGTGACTCCTCAAGTTTCTTTTGGTCTTCTGGAAACAACTTGATCTTCTGCGCTTTCAAAATTAGCCCACTAACCGCTTGTTCACGTTTTTGTTTTCCAAGTAGAATCTTTCGCTTTATTTTCTCGAAGTCAGCAAGAATCTTCTTAACAATGTTACCATACCTCAAGCTGGTACGAATAGGAGTTGAGCACTTTGGACAGCGCTTGAGCTGGACATCAACAGCCTTCCCATCATTCCCTGCCTCGGCCTGGTCCATCCACTGGTCCATCATCTCAACTTCAAACACATGGCCACAATCAGCCAGTTCCACAAACCTTGCGTCCTCTTCCTCTTCAGTTCCGAAGAAAATCTCTCCACGTTAAATAAATTCAAATGACCGTGTGTACTCCGTTTGGATTAGTTACCTCTTCAGTGGTGTACTTATCTTATAAGTCACTGGCTTCGGGAGGTTTCCCTGCCTATCTCATTTTTTTCATCACATGTGTGCAAACAGCTACATAAAGCCGCGTTCCGGACTCCTGACGAGCTGTCAGAAGTCGACAATTCTTCGTTCTTGTGAGTCTCCTATGTGTTCAAGACTAATTATCACTATACCTTGTTAGATGTGAGAAGGAAAAGAGGAATGGAATAAACCCTTTTCTCCTTGGAGTTACCCTTGAAGCTCTCTAAGCTGGCTTAAAGTTTTTAACCTGAACCCATTTGTCCAGAGTGAAACGCTAACAAGATGCAAGGCCCTTTTGATCGCCTTTCTAAAGTATACTCACGCCCCAAAATTCTCCAAGATACACATAAAACTGACAAATAGGCAAAAAAAAAACAAGTCAGAAAGAAAATACCTTGTATCAAAACAATGCCTACTGTATCTTAAATCTTGAGCACTACGTAGGTCCAAATATTAGGATTTGACTGTTCAAAGGAAAGGTGTGTAAAGCACAGTCTACGCTCACCTCCTTCAATACAATTTTTTATAGTTTTAAGATTTATGGTAAGTAAAAGGTCAACGCGAAATTAAAAATATCGTCAAAATCGTAAGTCATTTGGGTCGAAGTTGTGGATATTTGCCATGTCAGAAAAGGCAGCATAACGAGCTCCATCCATGTCACTTGCTAACCGATTATCATCTCTCAAACGATGATTATGACCACCAATCGCTGAGCCACATTCCGGGCAGCGGCCCTCTTCCATCGCCCCACCACACTCTGTGATGCAGTAAATGTGTCCTATAATGAGATAATACAGTGATAATACACCCGCGGATCATTTAAACTGGGTAGCGGGGTAACCTAGGATTTAGTAAGGAGTGGAGATGTTATAGAGGTGGTGAAGCTTGCGCCGTTATTTAAATTTGCGGCGAAAGAAAGAACGGGCGCCGGTTGTGGGGGCGATTGGTTGGCGGTGTTGGCTTATTCCAGGGAAGCCGTCAACTGTTTTTATATATCGCTCTTGCTCTCATTGAGTTATAGAGTTCATCGGGAAATTGTGGTAATTCAAAAGAGTCGGCTCTTCTTATCCAATGCATTAAAAGCTGGAAATTGTGTGTTTTCTGAATAGTTTAGGAGACTGAGAGGCTATACTCACCCTTTGGACACTTGAACCAATGTCCTTGTGTTAAACCCATGGCCTTCACAATCAGGTCTTTTTCTTGTCGGGTGACTTCCTGGTAAAACACTTCAAGTCCGTACAATCGTCCGATCCGCTTAATGCGAGTTGTATAACGGTCTCTGACGTCTTTTTCTAAAATGAACCCAGAAAAGTCTTACGTTCATGATTCTTTAACTGCGATTTAGGAGAGACGCTTGAAATAGAAATTTTCAAAGTTATGCGGGAAACTACACAGTGAGTGTGCAATATGGTTGTGGATTTATGACCATAACAATTTTGCTTGGATGTTGATATGACAAATGGTATTATAATTCATGACCACGTTTGAAGTTGCGAAATGTTTATCCGTAATGCTTTCAAATGAAGTTAGTTACAACCTTTCCCTTCTCCGCTTTCTTTGGATGCCCCCTTCCCCCTCACCCCATCCCGGTGGTAAACACTTGTCTTCACACTTAATTACAACGATTCGTTATATATACGATGTTTTTTTTTTGAACCCGCAGAGCTTGTAGATTGGATTTACCTATATACGCGAAAACATCAGCCCGTGGTGTGACACAGCTATACTAAGGAATTACCCAAGCACTGGGATTCGTTTTTGTTAGAACTTTAGACCTATGATGGTGTTTAGTTGCTATTCTTCTATATCGTCATTGCGTTTTTCATCTCTGTCCTTCATTATCCATCCACTTACCTATCACTTTCTCAGAATCCAAGGCGCTTTGCACGTGGTCAATTTTCACGGAATCAGTGGCGTTCAGCTTATGCCCTCGGATGTCAAGCTGCATCTTCAGAATCTTTAAGTCAACAGTAAGCTGTGTTCTGTACATCTCCTCTTTCAGTTCGTCTAACTCTTGGTCACTGAACCGCGCCCGAGTCTCCACGACACGGAATCGGAGTTTTTCCACCAGACTGTCTAGTTCGTCCCTTTCCTGCAGTATTCGTAATAAGTGATAGCTTTGAGTCTCTTCTGCCCTCTCACTCTCAGCTTTTGTGCCTTTGTGTATCTTAACCTTAATTTCCTGGAGGAAGGACAAGAGGCTGATCTGGTTCTCAAACACATTCACTTGTTCATCTGTAAGATTCTTGAGAAGCAGTGACTTCTCAAGTTTCTCCTGGTCTTCTGGAAACAACTCAATCTTCTGTGCTTTCAAACTTAGCCCGCTAACCGCTTGTTCACGCTGTTGTCTTCCAAGTAGAATCTTTCGCTTTATTTCCTCGAAGTCAGCAAGAATCTTCTTAACAATATTACCATACCTCAAGCTGGTACGAATAGGAGTTGAGCACTTGGGACAGCGCTTGAGCTGGACACCAACAGCCTTCCCATCATCCCCAGCCACGGCCTGGTCCATCCATTGATCCATCATCTCAACTTCAAAGACATGACCACAATCAGCCAGCTCCACAAACCTTGCGTCCTCGTCGTCTTCGGTTCCGAAGAAAATCTCGGTGACTTCATCCTTATGACACACTCGGCACTTCTTCGGACATCTTTCCCCGCAAAGACCAATACAGGGATGCTGGCAAGTAAGAAGCTTTTCACACGGCTCGTTACATCGCTGACGATCACATTCCTCTCCACACAATTTGGTGCATTGCAGATGCTCACATTTCCAACTGCATTCCTCTTTGCATGGCTCACAAGGCTCGCCACATTTGTTCCTGCAATTGCTATGCGTACAGGAGTTGCCGCAGGGTTCTTTGCATGGGGGACAGTTTTTGGTACAAGGCTCAGAACAGGAATGACCGCAGAATAGGGTACGGCCGCAGTTTTTCTTGCAAGAAACATGAACTCGACCACGGAAACACAGACTGCAATTACCTGATATATGTGGAAAAGACAAAAAATAATAATAAAACACGAGAAATTAAACACCGCTGAAATGGCCTCTGAGAATCGATATCAAACTTTCTAACAGCTGAAGCGAGAGTTGATAACGTTATTTGTATCTTCATTGGTTGATGCCTACGTTTTGTTGAAGGAAATAGCTAGGTGAGTTAATCGATCTATTTAAAGAACTTGTTTCCATACTTACCAACACAAGGGTGTTCACACTTCAAAGTCTCTCCACATGGTGCCTTACAAGGAGTTTTCATGGGATTCACGTGACACGCTGTCTTGTTTTCGTGACCACAGGGCCAGGTTTTCAGCGTAATGGCGGTACACTCCACTGCACACGCCTCAGAGCAAATGTTTTGGCAAGGATGCCCACATCTGGGTAGAAACTTGGTACAAGGCGACGTGCATTTCACTTCAGATGGATCCTTGTAGCAAGGCACACTCTGAGTATGGCCACAGCTGGGCAGGATCTTTGTCACTGGTTTCATGCATGGTCCACACTCTTGGTAACACATCCTAGAGCACTTGTGATTTCTTGTGCAGATGGTTTTCGCGCATGGCTTCTTACATTGATACTCTTTATGTTCCGGGTCTGTTGGATGACACACCATTTCACATACGTGACCACACGCTAATCTGGTAGCACAAGGCACTGTACATCCCCCTTCGGGTGCTTTCTTGAAGTCATCAGCACATGAGGCCTGAATGACGTTCCGTGGGTGGTTTTGACACGAGAGTGTCAAAGCGTTTCCGACATTACCGAGCTCTTCCATGTCGTCCATTATCTTTCTCCACAGATCGCTCTTCTCTTTCAGAAGACTGATGTTGCCAATGCAATAGAAACCTTCCTTGGCCCGAGACAGTGCCACACAAACCCGGTTTTCAGTCTGAAGAAAACCGATTTTTCCCTCCTCATTGCTTCGAACAAGCGACAGCAGGATGATGTCGTTTTCTTCACCTTGGAAATTGTCCACCGCACA